GATCACTCTGAAGTTGCTGAAGCCCGAATTCAACTCTCAACCTACATGCTTTGGTGGCTTTGGAAATCCAGGAATCTCTGGATCTTCAAAGGGACTCTAATTCCTGAGCATACTCTGTCCAGAATTGCCCTTGCTGACTGGATGGACTTCATTGCTGCTTCTGCTTAGTTTAGTTTGGTTGTTTGGGTTTTATTTTTCATTTTGGTTTTGCTTTTTCTTGTATTTGTTCCTTTTTAGTAGTTTGGTTTGTATCTCAGTGCTAGGCTTTGTAGCAGTGGTGTTGAGTTGCTTTCCTTAGTTTGCAGCTGTTTAGATTTGCTTGTTGAGGCTCTAGACCACCTTGGGTGGATCTCCCATGTTTTAGTTTCCTTTGAGTTGCTGTTGGACTATTGTATTCGAACTTTGTTCGCCCTGTTTTTTAGTAGTTGAATCTATCATTTCGGAAAAAAAAAACAATCAATTTGAATACTTTTTTTTTTGATTTTGAGGATGCCATATCCGGTATCGATTGACGGTGATTAATTCGTGTCCGACGGTTGCGGCGAAGGAACCATCGTCGATTTGGGTGAAGAACGAGGAGGTGCTGGGAATGAGTTTTGGGGCTTAAGTTTGGAAATTGGATAAATTATAGGAACCTACTTGCAAATTTGGAAAAATAGTTTGTTTCAATCTGATTTAAGGGTTAAAATTGTAATTTTGTAAAATTTAAGATTACACCAAATTAATTAATAATTTGCACAATATTAATAAGTGAACCGAATTTAGTGAAATAATTTTCATTGTTTAGTCGTTGCGGTATTATGAGTTTTTTTTTTAAATAAAGTCGATGATTTATCGAAACAATCTAAATTTTAAACGTAAAAAATAGATAATTGAGTTGAAATATGAAAAATAAAACAAAATTTTTATTTTTGGTTAGTTTGTTTGGTGTTGTGCAGTCCAACAATCACTAATGTGCAATTCTTCTTATACTATTGTGCAAGGTTTATGTCGTTATTGTGTAATCCAAATTGGAAGAAATTTTCTTCTTATGCATTTTTTTGTTCAAAAAAACATTATTTTATATAAAAATATTTACAAAAACTAATATTTTATATAATTTGTCAGTTCAATTATTTCGGTCATTTTAAAAATTAAATGTGAAAACAAACTGAAATAAATAAAATTTTAGAGGTAAAAAAAAATGGAACCGACATAAAATTCGAACCAAAAGCTTAGTTAGCCGATTTCGATCGGTATAGTGCACTTTGGTAGTCATTAATGTGCAACTCGTATAACACTAAGGTGCACTCGAAGTGCATATATTTTTTAATAAACTATCTCACACCAAACTAAATCCAAAATATAGTTAGTATTTTAATGTATTTATTGAACATCTTATATCATTTTCGGTTGTAAAACAAAATACTATTTTTTTTATATAGTAGGTCGGTTTGATTTGTGTAAACAATAAAGCTGACATCAGACAGAATACCTGAAATTTTAATAGTACAAATATATATACTCAACCCAATATATAAAATTCGAACCCAAAACTTTGTCTGTTTGTCTCAACGACTATAGTGCAATCTGGTAGTCAATAATGTGCAATTCGTATAACAATGATGCACAATCAAAGTGCAGACATTTTTATAAAAATATATTTAGTATTTATAGTTTTTATTTAATATTTTATATTATCATTTACAATATAAAAAAAATATTTTTTATATAGTTTGTTCGGTTCTATTATTTGTTTGTTTTTGTTTTTTGTATATATAAAGCCACACTTGTTATGTTAATGCGCATTATCGAATGCATAAATGTGCATTTGGTCTAATACTATTGTGCAGTCTGAAAATCACTAATGTGTATCGTGTTTTACACTATTGTGCATTCTGATTTCAAGTATATTTTTATTATTTTTTTTATGTGGTATTTCAACCTAAAATCGAACCGAAATAATTGGATTATTCGGTTGGCTAGTCGAATTAACCTAAATAATTAAAGTATATTATTATTTATATTATAAAAAAAATATAATTTCTATTTAATTTTTTTTTATTTAATGGTTTATATTATTTTTGGTTGAAAAAATTATAATATATATGTACAAAAATATGTTTTTATATAAATAAGATAATATTTTTTTTGTATTATATTTTATATAAATTACAAATTTGGCCCATGTACTCAATTGAAATATAGCTAAAACTTCTTAATATACAATTAGGTCCCTTCAAGCTATCT